TTATTTAGTTCTCTCCATTTCCAGACATGGATGCTAACTTATTAATTGCAGGGTGCTTCAAATTGTTGTTCATGATATGTTATAAGTTTCAGGAGCTTTATTTTAATTTACTTCGCAAATAATACTTTTGCTTGGGGACAAGCAAATGTTTTAGTGTAGGGGAATTTGATAAGCATATTTTACACTCATATTTTAGGTACATCTTTATAATAATTTTGCATTAATTATTTAATATTATCTAATAATTAGTTCTTTTTATATATAATATATAATCTATTCTTATATAATATATAATATATATAATATATAATATATAAGAATACGTACTACGTGCTATATACTAAATATATATATAATATATTATATATAATATATATATAATAAATAAATATAGAATACATAACATATATATATATATATATATATATATATATATATATATATATATATATATATATTACTACTGTACTAGACTTCTAGTATATATATATATATATATATATATATATATATATATATTATAAACCTAGAAATAAATGAAATAAATATATTGTTTTGTTTGCTTTCCTACAGAACATAGCATACGACGGTAGCGGAAAAAAAGCAAAGTCAAATTGGACCGGCAAGATTGGCTAGAATTGTGGAAGGCCTTAGCACAAAAATAGAAATTCAATGGTGGAAAATGAGTTGAAAATATTTTGAGAGTAGTATAAATAGATGATGGCAACTCATTCTAAAATGTTCATTCTTCCCCTCTCGAATATTCTTTAAGGTTGTTATCAATGTCCATTCGCGGCTAATTTCTTGTTTGGTTTAGTGAATTGAAGCCCCGGAGTTCATTACGCTGTAAGGTTATTTATTTATTTTTATTATATATTTTTTATGCATTTGAGTATTAAATATTCTTCTAAGTTATTTGAAATAATTGTGTCATTTAATTGCTAGGGAGGCCTACTAGTTATTTATTTGATATAATTATTTGTTATATTAGATAATGTTGTGCTACAAATTACTCTAATATTCAGTAGCAACTGGGTTAATTATTGACGGCTTAGTGATAATTGGACTCGGGTAGAATATTTTCCTAAATTAAATGCAACCGCTTGTGCTTGTGTTATTTAGTTTGTCGGTTTTCCTAGTTCCTATTGCTGCTATTAAATTAAATCTATAGCGCTTGTCTTAGGTTATTTAGTAGTTAGGGGTAATTAAACCGCGTGTGCTTTAGTTACCTACAACTAAGGGAAAACGGAAATGAAATAATTTCACGACAAATATTCAACTGCATATTAATTACTTTATAAATCAATGATCAGTGTTAAACTCCGGTGGTGGATCTTTACTGACCAAGGTTTCTTATTATAAGTGTTTTCGATATATTATTTTCACTGTTTATTCGTTCGATTAAATTTCTCGTTTATTTAATTTCTCTTTTATTTAATATTTATTCTCGATATATTCCAAACCCCCCATTATTTCCTTGAGCACAAAAGTTAAACTAGTTACTCCTCGTGGGATCGATCCTTACTCCCGCTACTACGTTTGTAAGGTTTTAATTTGGGAGCCTACGACAGCTCACCAGTTCCCTTTGAATCTAGTATGAATGTTGTTGGATGCAAGTGAGTGTTTAGAACCAAGAGAAAGGCAGACGGTTCAGTTGAGCGTCATAAAGCTCGGTTGGTTGCTAAAGGTTTTAATCAAGTTGCTGGAGAGGACTTCTTTGAGACTTTTAGTCCTGTGGTAAAATCGACTACGGTACGTCTTTTGTTATCCTTAGCTATTTCCCGCGGTTGGACTATTCGTCAACTTGACATTCATAATGCATTCTTGAATGGAAAATTGGCTGAAATAGTGTATATGCGGCAACCACCTAGCTATGAGGACAAGACACTGTCCAGTCATGTGTGTCTGCTTCAGCGATCTCTATATGGGCTTAAGCAGGCACCTCGTGCTTGGTTCATGCGATTGCATGATTATCTGGTCTCTGTGGGCTTCTCGCCTTCTAAAACAGATGTTTCTTTGTTTATTTACTCGCGTGATAATATTCGGTTGTATTTTCTTGTCTATGTGGATGACATTTTAATTATGGGTTCTGATTCGGAACGTGTTGCTACACTGGTCAATAAGTTGTCACTTGAATTTAAAGTCCATGATATGGGTGTTCCGTCTTTCTTTTTGGGAATTGAAACTGTTCAATCATCTACTAGTATGCTTTTATCCCAGCAGCGTTACATGAAAGACATTCTGAAACGAGCAAGTATGGTTGACTGCAAACCGGTAACCACGCCAGTTTCACTTACCAAATCCACGGATGGTCCTGTGGTTCCCTACGCAGACCCGACTCACTACCGCAGTCTTGCAGGGACCCTACAGTATCTTACGGTCACCCGCCCTGATTTGTCCTATATGCTGCTAATCGTTTGTGCCAGCATATGCATGCCCCTACCACTACGATTTGGGCGGCCTTGAAGAGGGTTCTGCGCTATGTCAATGGCACTCTCAATCTTGGTCTTCACATATCTTGTTCTGACTCTCTTGATATTCATGCTTATTCTGACTCAGATTGGGCTGGCAATCCGGACGATAGAAAATCTACAAGTGGTTTTGTTGTTTTTCTTGGGTAGAATCTTATATATATCTTGGGTATGTCGCAAACAACGGACAGTGGCTCGTTCCTCGACTGAAGCCGAATATAAGGGGTTAGCTGATGTCTCTGCTGAAGTCACCTAGCATCTTTCTCTACTGAGGGAAATCGACTTCCCACCCATGTCTACACCAAAGCTATGGTCGGAAAACTTAGGGGCAACTTATTTATGTGCTAATCCTATCTTTCATGTCCGCACGAAGCACATTGAGATTGACTATCATTTTGTTCGTGATAAAGTAGCCAAGAAGGAGATCCAAGTCAACTTTATCTCAACCAAGGATCAGATAGCTGATATTTTAACTAAACCTTTATCTACTTTACGTTTTAATTCGCTCCGTCACAAGCTCAATGTTTTGGCTAGCCAACCTTGTGCTTGAGGGAGAGTATTAGGACTATATTATTCATATTAGACTAGGACTATATTATTCGTGTTAGACTATAATTCTATCTAGTATCTATATATATGCTCTCTGTACTCTCTGACATTATCATTGAATACAGCGCAATCTATATTCCCATCTTTACAAGCTCATCGTGAATGAGTAATTAAATCACGATAAAATTCTTATCCAACATCTAATATTATATGTGATTATATATACTTCATGACTCCAAATAATCACATGAAAATTAGATCACACGTGTTTATGTCATAAATCTTATTTTATCTATAAATTTCCAACATTCTCTCACTTCTATCGCATTTTTCTCTCTCATATTTCCTTATACGTACTATAGACGTACTATGAATCAATATTTATTTTTAATATATTAAAAATTCATTATTTGTGTATTAAATGTTCATTATGAACTTTCAAAAAATAAACATTCAATATATTAAAAATGGACAAAAATGTATCTTATATCAATGATACACCCACCTTACAAAGTTGACCATGGTCTATGGTAGAATGATTGATTAAAAGTCCAACATATCCCATATATTGAATTGGGACGCAAATTATTTAAAAATTCAAAACATGATATCATTTTTAAACATATTATATTATATTGTTTATTTTATACCACTAAAAATTCTAAATTCAACTCACAAAAAGCATTCTATATATATAAAATAATGTTTAAATATTATAGCAACCAAGCTATTATCTAAACCAAAAGAGTTGTATTATTTTTACTGTCAATTAATGTAATTGTCATAAGTACTCAAAAATATAATTGTGATAAGATACAAATGTTTGATATAAAATTGTCAAAACTTAAATGTTTCAATGATGTTTGTTTGTTTGGACAGTAGCGTCGACCAACGAATTCCTGTTTACATTGGACTATTGGAGTCGCAGTTGTTATATTATAGACCGCGGTGCACATGCATCGCGTTTAAAAACGGCGCCGTTTCTTTAAGTAAAGAAACGGCCCGCCGTTATCGTTAACGGAGTCCGCTTGTTTGGTGTATTAAACACCAACTGACACTACAATATATCTAAACCGACACTGTAGTTATATCAAAATGATACTGTAGTTATGGTGAAATGAAACTGCAGTGTATATAAAATGAAACTGAATAACATTTCACATATTTGAGTGTATATTGTACAATGAAGTTGTAATTATCAAAATGATCATGTAGTTGTGTTTTAATAAAACTATAGTATATATAAAATAAAATTAAATAACTTTGTCACATATTTGAGTCTATAAATATCGAATGAAACTGTAATTATATGAAAATGAAACTGTAGTTGCGTTGAACTGAAACTGCAGTGTATACGAAATGAAACTGAATAATAGAGTTACTTTTTGCAGAAGGGTGCGAAATGGCGAAAAATGAATACCGTTTATTTTCATTTAACAAAACGATGTCATTTTGATGCGCGGTGTATAATCGATTAGCACCAAGCTATTATGTAAACAAAAGAGTTGTATTATTTTTAGTGTCAATTAATTACAAATGTTTGATATAAAATTGTTAAAACTTAAATGTTTGAATGATGTTTGTTTGTTTGGACAGTAGCGTCGACCAACGAATTCCTGTTTACATTGGACTATTGGAGTCGCCGCCATCCGGTTTGGAAATCAGATGCGTTTGGAGCCATTTGTTGTAGAGCCTCTGCTAACTAGTTTTCTCGAATTTGCCCAGCCTGATTCACCCAAAAAAAAAAAAAAAAATCTTTGATTTCTTTGTAATTCTTCGTAGTTCGATCTACTCTGATCGATAGACAGACGCAAATTAAATGGCTTACGCTGCTTTAACTTCGCTTATGGAAACACTTTCTCTACATTTCTTGCAATCACAATCACGCTTGCCTCTTGAAGATTTAGAGGCACAGATTAGAGATGACAATGAAAATCTTGGCTTGCTGCAGCAAATTCTTGAGAAATCTGAGATGGGGTTGGACGAAGCGTCTTCTTCTATAAAGGTTAGCTCCCCCAGTCTTTATGGAATCTTCAATAATCAAGCAGTAAAACAGACTGATTATTAAAAGTGAAAAGCTGCAGCAGCTTGCAGATTTAGAGGCTCGGATCAGAGAGATGGAGTTGGACGAAGAAGCGTCACCCAAGCCTATAAAGGCTTGCTTCCCCAGGCTTTATGGAAAGCAGCAGCTTGCTTGGGATACTATACTTTTGACTTCTCGCCTCAGGGAGATGGCTCAACTCAAACAAAAGATAGTTTTTCTCCATCAAAATCTGGGCTTGCTGCAACAAAGTGTTGAGAAATCTGAGATCCCCTATGATGATGCAAGGGTGAGGGTGATGAAAGATTTAGAGGCACAGATTAGAGATGCATCCTTCAATGCGGAAGAAAGGATTGAGATGCAGTTGACTGCCATTTATCTAGCAAAGGATAGTCTTCATGTAACAGCTTGCCTGCTCAGGCTTCATCAAATCTTCAATGAAGCAGAAAAACAGACTAATTACCACAGGAATAAGTTGATTAGGATCCGACGAAGAGGACTACTACAGCTTGTCAAAGGACTATTACACAAGAAAATTATTGTGAGTAACTTTTCCAAAAATGCTTCAAAGTTTGATCGTAAAATGGTCGGATGCGACAATGTGTTATTGACGGTATTGGATCAGCTCACGCAACAATCAACTAAGGGGAGACAAGTTGTTTCGATTGTTGGCATGGGAGGAATAGGCAAGACCACTTTAGCACACGAAGTTTATGAACATCCATCAATTACTTCTCATTTCGACAAGCAAGCATGGGTTACGGTATCCCAAGAGTATAATGTCGAACAAATGCTCCGATGTCTTCTTAGTTGTGTTATTGCAGCATCAAGAGATGGCGGCAAAGACCAATTAGCAGAAAGTGTGTATAAACATTTGAAGGGTCAGAGATATTTGATAGTGATGGATGATATATGGAGCACTACTGCTTGGGATAGTGTGCAAAGATGCTTTCCAGATGATAATAATGGAAGCCGTATACTATTGACTTCTCGACTCAGAGAGGTGGGAGAATATGCTAGCTCAGGTAACTCTCCTCTTAACATGCCTTTCTTAGATGCCAATGAAAGTTGGAATCTCTATTGCAAAGTCTTTGGTAAAACTGAATTCCTTCTAGTGTTTGAGCAAATTGGTAGAGACATAGTGAAGAAATGTGAAGGATTACCTCTGGCTATTATTGTAGTAGCTAGTCTTCTCTCCAAGATAAAGGAGGAGGAGGAAGAGTGGAAGAATGTTGCAAAAAGTGTAATTGGTGATTCTAATGATGCATGTTCCAGAATACTATATCTAAGTTACCACCAATTACCACACCACTTAAAAGCTTGTTTTCTGTATTTTGGAGTTTTTCAAGAAGACTATGAGATCCCTGTGAAGAAGTTGGTCAGGTTGTGGGCAGCAGAGGGGTTTTTGAGGGCTGTGAAGCATGTGAATACGGAGAAAGTGGCCATGGAATGCTTGCAAAATCTTGTTGATAGAAGTCTCGTTATAGTTAGCAAACAGAGCTATAATGGGGAAATGAAAACAATAAGGATACATGATTTATTGCGAGATTTATGCTTGAAAGAAGCTGGACGTGAAAATCTATTGAATGTGAATGTGATTGGAGATGAAAAACTTTCATTTTATAAGAGGAAATCACAGAACCTGTTTTCAAAACCTTGTCGTTGGATAAGTGATACATCAGAATGTTTGAATAATCAAATCAGGCCAGGAGATAAGCGCTTTGACAAATCTCATTCCTTACACTCAAGGTTTGATTACTCTAGGGGATTTTACTTTCAGGCACTTGATGAACTTCTTTCACACTTGAAATTGCTAAGAGTAGTAGACATTGAATGTGGACATTGTAGCAATCCATGTGAGGTAAATGTGTTTGCCAGTCTTGTTCATTTGAGATACTTTGCTTTGACCCATCAATGCCGAAATGATCACACTCCTCTTTATGTAAAGCTCTTTGAGCATAGGAATATGCAAAGCTTTATTGTTCGTGGAAGATTTGTTAAATGGGATTCCTCTAGTGCATTTACAATTTGGACAATGCCACTATTAAGGAATTTTTGTGTTGAACAAATTCTTTCATTAGAAACTTCTTCGGTTGTTCATAGAAACTTAGAGAATATATCTTGGTTGGATCCTAAACTCTGTACACAGGATCTATTTACAAGGATTCCAAATTTAAAAAAATTGGGGATTGAAGGTGGAGATGCTAAAAGTCCAGATTGTTTTTATAATTTTGTGCACTTGGGGCAGCTTGAGGCACTAAGCATCAGAGAGTGGTGGAATCTCAACCATATTCCATGTAGCGACATCCCATGGACAACTAGTTTTCTACCAAATCTTAAGAAGCTCAAGTTCATGGATACTAATTTGGCATGGAGTGATATGAGGTTTATTGGTATGTTGCCGAATCTAGAGGTTCTAAAATTGATAAATGCTTGTCAAGGCCCAAAGTGGGAGACATCTGAAGGAGGGTTCCGTCAATTGAAAAAGTTGGTAATTGAAGCACGTTGGAGTTTGGAAGATTGGAATGCTGAGGGTGACAATTTTCATGTGCTTGAATGTTTAGAGTTACATAAATGCAAGCATTTGCAAAAGATTCCTAATGGTTTTGTGGATATCATATCGCTAGCATTGATTGAGTTAATCTACTGTCAGGATTCACTTTTGGCTTCCGCAAAGTGGATTCAAGATGAGCAACTCAACAACTATGGAAACACCATCCTTGTTCGTTCTAAAAATATTAGGTCTCTTTCTATCCCTCTATTATATCTCTGAACATTTCACATTTCATTCTACTTGTATATTTGCAAGGAATACTCATTTGTTTTCTCTCACTTGTTCTCATTTTTGTCTATATATTTCCTTACCCTATCTACATGCTGTCTGTTCACCAATTTTTAACTTAATTTACTGTTTTCAGCCTGAAAGAGTAAACATCTGAGAAAGAATGTGATGAGGAGGAAGAGATAGATGACGGAGAAATTGTTTGAAGACAAATTTTGAAGGCTATGTCTAGGGTGACTACTATGTTATAGCATATATTTTGGTTTCTGGTTCTTGGATGATTAGAGATCTGATGGATGATGCATGCCTTGGCATTATATTTCAGCACCTGAATTTCATCTGATGTCTCAACTGTTTTGGCATGCCTTTGGCATTATATTAAAAAGGAGTGACTAAGCTTATGGGATTCAATTAAGCGAATGTAGGGATTCCCTACCTAGCTTGTGGCTTCTGCAAAGTGCAGTGGATTCAAGATGATCGAGCAACACAACTATGCAAAGTGGATTCAAGATCTAGCTGAAATGGTCTCTGTGGGCAATTCGTTCTCGGAAATCTGATGCATATATGGTGCCATAGCATTGAAGGATGGGAACTCAATTTATTCATTTGAAGTCTCAGAAATGGTTTTTTATGGATTAGCCAAGGATATAATTGAAGTTGGCTGAATATTGTGTTGGAATATAATGCATGTTGTCTTTTATGGATTAGCCAAGGATATAATTGAAGTTGGCTGAATATTGTGTTGCAATATAATGCATGTTGTCTGTTTCTCAGAAGAAGTTGGTGATTGGAATTTTGATGGATGCTGCCATAGCATTGTAGTTTGCATTGCAGGATCAGAGCTGAATTTCAATCTCCATCTCAATTAGTCTCAACTGTTTTTTTTTTTTTTTTTAAAGTGACGAGGACAACCTTTCGTCATTATTTAAGGGTGTGCAATTGTGTACTTAATAAACCTCGTCTTATAACCCTAGCCAACAAAGATTAGATTTAAGGTTTAAGTGAATATGATGGGAGATGAAAAATAACCTGGCCTGTTTTCAAAACCTTGCTTGTCATTGGATAACTTATCCATAAGAATGTTTAAAAAAACAAAACTACCAGAGTAAAATACTAATCTTGATAATTCAGTATTAGACTTTGTTTATCCCTATAATACTCTTTCAATTTCTTACTTTCAAAAATGGATACTACTGTCCTAACATATAACTCACTCCTAAAATATAATACGTAGTAGTAGTGATAGTAATAATAATAGTAATTAATACTAATAATAATGTAATTTTGCACTTTCTCTCTTTAGACAGATTAACAAGAATAATCAACTGTCAGGGATTACTGATTGATTCAGTTACGAAGACAGTCAATGATAATAAATCATGGAGAACATAAACGAGAAAAATAACAGCACAAACCCAATGACACAGAATATTTACCCAGTTCGATACAGTGTGTATCTACGTCTGGGGGACGATCACATAGGCGTCCATCCACTAAATCATAATCCAATGTACAAAGGTAGATATACAACAATCTTACCCAAGTGCCCCACACAAGGTACATACCCAGTCTACACAGGTTTAGTGGATTGTTGAAGATGGAGAGCCATGCATGCAGAAGTCCAATGAAATCCCTTCACTTGGAGAGCCCACTCTAATGCAGTCCACTTCAATGACGCTCTTAGCAGTTGTTCCCACAACAGTGTGATCACAGTGTCCTTTCGTTTAAGCAGCAGTGATTCTTCTCAAGTTCATCATCTTAATCACCACGAACATATTTTGTTGAGAAGATGCATGACAATCAAAGATCTCGTCTCATATAGCATATAAGGAGTATTTCTTCTTACTGTTTGACGTAACCCTAATTCTCTTCGAATAAGGGTACTTATAGATTCTTCAATAAACACTCTCCATAGATGACTTTGATTGTAGAAGGTAGGACTATAAAATGGGAATGTAATCTCAGAAGATTAGGTCCATACCTTTCTTGAAAATATACGCTGATCTTCTTTCCAAACTAGTCTGATAATACCACGTATAGTCTTTTAGAAATCAGCTTCCTAAAACAGATCTTCAGTGTCAGTCCTTCTGTTGTTGCTTCTGATTGATCATTCATCTGTAGAGTTGGACGGACAAACTCTAAACCTATCTTAGTTTGCCATAATAATATTGCCAATTATAATATGGGGTTTTTTGAACATTTAAAAACACTAACAAACTCCCCCTTTGGCTATTATTTGGCAAAACAACTCGACTATAAAGATAATCAAAACATAAAGAACTAAGATAGGTTATTATAAAGAAGCAACCCATGAGTCTGATCTGATTACATAGAACTAAGACAAAAACATAAGATCCAAAACAGTTTATGATAAAAAACAAGTAGTGATGCCATCAAACACAACGCCCAGCCATGGCCAGAAGGTACACAAACACAAAAACTCCCCCCGAGTTCATACTACTCCCCCTTTTTGCCAATGATAGCCAAAGGTCAAACATTGGAGGGAGTGTCACTGTCAGACTTCGCAGGATCAGCCGCAGCAGTAGATTCAGATAGGCTTAAACGAAGAAGAACGGTTGCCAGCTCAGTACGGGCCCCTGTCAGTTGCTTTGCAACAATGCTGTGAACAGTCTCAAGATTAGCGACCCGTGCCTTCAACTGAATGGAAAGTTGAACATCCTTAGCATGAAGAGAGTCGTCAGACACAGCGTCAGGTTCAGAATTTGTTGGGACAGTCACCGGAACAACATCCCGAATGTGATCTCCAGTCAGCAGACGTTTATCAACAGTATAGAGCAGCGTTGGACTGATCACTTCACAGGGCATAGGCTCAAGACCCTAAGATGTAAGAATGCCATAAATCAGATTTGGGAAGGGTAGCCTTACCTTCTGCTCCCGTGGATGAATTAAGGTAAGAATATGATAGAAAATCCATTTTCCCAGATCAACTTGCATCTTCGTTCCAATTCGAAACAAGAGGCCTGCCAGCAGCTTGCCAACCGTGTGGAAATGGGCTGATGGGAGCCAGTTGTGAAGGGCCAGGCGATGTAAAATCACATATCTGGATGTGAGTTGCGAGCTCGGCAGATAATCCTTGTCACCTGTAGGCCAAGTTTCTGTCTGTCCACCGGTAAGAGTTTTGGCCACCAAGTTCCAGTCAGTGACAACCTCTTCTTGTACAGCAGCCAAACCATAGTATTCATTGATCATATCCGGCCTAAAAATGTACCACCTCCCTCTGATGAAGATCTGCATCGGTCGAGGTCCGGTTAAGTTGTCAATCTCTTCATTGAGATTGCAATAGAATTCATACGTGAGAAGCTTAGAGTATGGACAGATGTCCGTGACAGTTTTCAGCAATCCGACTTCATTCAGCAGAGGTAGAATGTCACATACAGAGTTCAGCTGGTTCTCATCCACGGATCGTTGAACAATAAGGTCCCTTCTGACCATAGTAGACCATTTGGCCTGAGCAGCAGAAGATACAAACTGAGGCCTGTAAACAGATGGGTCAGTTTCTTCAACAGGTTGAACCTCAGGAGTAATGCTTCGACCTCTCAATCATGTGGATGGCTTCCCTTTTCTGGTAGGTGGTGCAGGTACAGAAGTAGCTTGAACAGCAGTAGGGCCCTTCTGCTTAACAAACGATCGCAGTGTCTTGAACACTTGTTGAACAGGCGGATTTCCTTCAGACTTGACAGCCTCACTCGACTTCCTTCTCTTCTCAGGCTGATCCACATCAGCACTGTCATCACCGGTCTCAACAACAACCTGTACTGGAACATTCTTCCTTTTAGACCTTCTTGTTTCTTTGGTTGGGGATTGAACAGGAGTCACAGAGTGACTGGAATCAGAGACATTGGCATATGAGTTCCCAATAATATTCGAAATTTCTCGAATTTTGAAGGTCGTGGAGTCAGGATGAGCAGTGGACTCAACAGTTGGAATTTCAGATGGAGGCGCTTGAGATCCATACACTTCAGCCAGAATTTTATCATCTTCGCTGGAGGATTCAGATGGGTGAATCACACGATACGGTTGAGGAATTGAAGCAGATGGTAGAACAGCAAAGTGTCGCACATGTTCCAGACTTTCACCTAAAGATGTGGCAGTGTAGACTGGGATTCCCCCAGATTTCTCAGACTTATGGGGGCTTGATAGATCGACAGTGTCAACATTAGCAGGTAAACAGAAGTGACATCAGCAGAGCAAACTTCTTTAGGTTCATCAACAATCTCAGCAGGAGGCAGAGCAAGATTATCAGGAGAGAAAACAACTAAACTTAGTTTATTTGGCTCATCGGATGATTTTTCTTTCTTATCAGACACATCATTTTTCACATCAACAGACTCACTCAACGGCAGGGATGTAGGATTAACATTCTCAGGGGGTTTCTAAGAATCTAAAGCAGATAAATTGTCATTATGAACAAGCACACAAGACGGGGGTAGCAGAAACATCAGGTTTATCCGGTGAAATTTCAATAGGAGTATCAGAATTGTTTGACCTTTTTCGGAGGATCTCCTGTCTGTGTCTTGCCTCTTTCTGAGCAGCTTCGAGATACAAAGGTTGGGACTCCGCTCGCCGTCGAGAGACCTCAACAGATTCTAGGGCTCGTTGTGCAAAGTATCGAAGGAAAGCCCCGGCCCGATTTCCATCCGAGGGTTCTGGAATAAATACTGGAGAAACTTCATCACTGGCTTCGGAAACCATCTTCAGCAGTTCAGTCGCATCATCTTCAGACCATTCAGCATTAAATTCTGGGTAGTTCGTCATAACAGTCACCAAAATCTCGTCGCGAAGCATAGGATCAAGCTTGAGTTTCTTCTTCATAGCAAACTGCAATAATGTCTGAATATGCTTAAGAGCCACCTCTGGAGAATGTGTTTTGCTTCCGAGTTTGATGATGATATTTCTTACAGGATCTGCCATTGAAACAAAATTTTTGTGGGAGGAGAAGAACAAATCACAGAAGGCAGGTGCGCTGAGAGAGAGAGGGGTTGAGTGCTGAGATGCTTGAAGAAATTTCTTCTTGGCCCGGTATTAAATAGACTTAAGGGTGATGAACCCTAATCAATGTGGCTTGTCAAATATCATGCAGACGCGATTGATTGACACAACGGTACGCCTTCTTTTTAGGAAGGAAACGGAACCCAAAGAAATTTGAATTTCAAAAAGAAATTAAGATCTTTGAAGATATCTTTAAGATATCTTTAAGATACAAAATGTTAAATAAACCACTTAACAAAAATAGAGAGGAGTCTTTAAAGAAGGTCAAACCATAATAC